GAAGCTTAGATTGTCTGAAGTAATAGATTTTCAATTTGCAAAAATCTATCGTTTGATCTAGTGTTAGGACAAGATTGGTTATGGATGCGTAAAGCAAAAATTATCTTTGGGTTTTCTCCCAGAACCTATGGACTCCGTGATAAAATTGTAATAGATGGTATGAGTATCCCATTAATCGAAGGTGGCAATAAAACCAAAAATGAATCACATAAGTCTGATTTATCGATGGACGAATATGATTAAGAAATCTCTCTTATATGCCCAAGATAATAAGGGCATCACAAATATTTTGCAATATAATTAGATAATGTTTCTAAAAATAGCGGAGCTAGCAAGAAAAATGGGGTCAATTATTCCATGTATTCGGATAGAGATTATATATATAAACATGCATAAGACTGCATCTGCAAAGAAACGTCCTATTAAGCGAAGATGTTGCGCAAAGTAAAAAAGAAAATTAGCCAGAGGCGCTTTATATTAGTGTGAGATAATTGTTTGATGGTCAGCTGAGCATCATCAAACTGCAACATATCACATGATTGTTGATACCAACCACATGGTTAGATTACTATTACTCTTTCTTATGGATGAGGAGATAGTTCTTCAATTAAATTCAAGATGATGCAAGTCGGAATGAAGGAGATGATAATGATGAGCGAGATGATACGGAAGAAATAACGGCAACTACTCGTCTGCCAAAGAGAGATTCACATTTTTGGTTTGCAACAGTCTAGAAACTGATTAGGAATTGACTTGCATAAAAGTGACATTCTGAGTCTTTGAAACAAAGCACTGTTAGAAAAATTTAAAATTAAATTTATCTCTCTTTTTAAAGTATATGCAAATATACGCTACTAGAGTAGGGACACTTTTGATGCATATACACGTTCACGTTATTAGGTCCAACTAAGGGATCGGGGCTCCTTTATGCAAATGAACAGATTATGCAATTAGAGAGGTGCGACGTATTGTCTTTGACAGAAACGAATTGGGCCTGGGAAAATAATAGCATAGAGTAAAATCGTATAGCAGACTTTACTGAACAGGGTTTGAGTATATGTCTCTAATGTATTAAAAAATCCGCATTTGATATTCCTCATACCTTTACATTTTCCTCCCAAAACAACAGTTTTATATAGGAAGCGGTGGGCGTTTCTTAAATTTTGGATCATATTCATCCAAACCCTTTCTAACATTGCCTGCCATGGTCTGCACTGCTGTCACATTCTCCGGGATATTTCCCCATAAAGACTCTAGATCATACATTGACCTAGCTTCAGGCATGAAGAGATGCAAGACTACATCACCACAATCTACAAGAATCCAATCTTCTGAGTCGCGACCTTCGACTATTGGGTAGACGTTATCTGAAGCCGACTGAAGACCCGACTCATCCCTGTTATCTTTTATAAAACTTTTAAACTATAGGCACACAGCACACCGACAA